TCGCGTCTTTGATAATTCACACTGCGTGATTGTCACTCGCGTGAACGAGCACCGATTTGCCTCCGATGTCGGGCATTTGCCGGCGATTTCGCAAAACCTGTCGGCGAGTGAAAAATCGGGCTAATATCGTGCAGTGTGAACTCGGCATAACGCACACTAAACCCACACCATCTTGAATACCGCTCCGGAGGAAATCGCAGCGATATTCTATTAGCGAGGAACTTATCAAGGACATAATCAGAAACTAAAGCAATTAAGGAAAAAGGAACTGAACGCAGGAAATGTAATGCTGTCTGACTATACAAGCCAGTCTGGTTTCAAGATGTTCTGTGTGTACATGGAAATAATGAATGGATATCAAAGCACTCTGACTAACCAAATCCATCTTCTTCTCACCATATGTCACCATAATGGTATAGGATCTTGATCACTCTAGCTTACTGAATCCACACTGTTCATGAGTCACAATTTAATGCTAAACGATCATATTAACTGAGACTTATTGTCATGAAACAACTGCGAAACATTCAGTTGTGTGGGGACGTAGCATGTTTCATTCTCTGCTGTTTTTGTTTTAAATTGGATGTAAGAGTCCTGTGGTTCTCCTGTTCTTGAAGACTCAGCAATGGTGTACGGTTACTTACATGTCTTAACTGCGGTCAGTCCATCACTTAGACAGCTTTATGATGTTTTGACATTGTCAGTGTTGGGAAGGTTACTTTGGAAATGTAATAGGTTACAGATTACAAGTTACCCTATTTAAAATGTAATAGTAGTGTAACTTTTTCCATTACTTTATTAAAGTAATGTAACTGATTACTTTTGATTACTTTTTGATTACTTTTCTAAATTTCTAATGAATGTTTATTTGCAACTGTTAATCATTTCAAACATTTACACCAAGCAGGGTTAACCTTACAGTAGTGCTCAACACTGTCAGACTTTCAAAATCCTTCGTTACTTGAATTAAGATGATCAAATTTGAACACATGCACCACAAAATCAGACGTTAGTACCGCCTTTTACTTTGAGATTGATCTGAAGTTCAATGCAGATTTAAAATCATAAGAAATAGTTAATAGATAAGAAATCTTTGCATAACTACAGGAAACACTGCATCTAACAATGGTTTGGGGAAAAAAATGTTAATTAAAAAATAATAATAAATAAAAGCATATACATCAACTCAAATACGGTTATCTAACAAGCATGTGTCCTATTCGGTGTACTAAACTCCTGAACCATTGGTGTCTCTTTGTATATGATATAATGATAGTTTTTTCAAAATAAGTAAAATGCTCATGAAGTGACTCAGAGCAGTTCTAGAGATTGTTTATGTGTTCATGTACTCCTATATTGAGGAGGCAGAGGCTGAAAACACAGTAAGCTTCAGTAGGCCTATGTGTAGTAAATGAAACCGCATGTCTGCGCCATTAATTTCCACGAGGGGCGGACTGGGAAAAAAAGGGAAATCTCACACTCATACACCCACAACCAATTCTGAGACAACCCTATTTTTTGTATGGACTTTACATAAAAAAGGTTTAAATCCTTAGGTTGGGGACATAATTAAAAATTCTCTCATGAACTGCACCTTCACTTCCATTTTTCTTTTCAGTCTCTTTATTTTGCCCTGATATCGATCTCTCTCATGACTTTAATACTCAAGATTTAACAAAACTATACTTTCTAAATTGCCTACATGTCAAAATTAGTACATCACTACAATATCTTTATAGAAAAATCCTAATA